AACTTAGACAACTTCGTGATCTTTTCTGTATTGGAGTGTTTTATTGTGTATTGAGAATAAATAGTATGTATTCTATGTTTATTGTGTACAAATTAAATTTTTTATAATGAAGTTATAATTTTAATTTCATAGTCTTAAAATACTTGTGCGTAAAATAGATGATGTTTGTTCATAATTTGGCAGTGAATATTAAAAAAAGAAAAAAAAAATAGGGACATGAAGGACTACGGTAACAGGCAACGTTAAAAAAATAATAATAAATAAAAATAGTCAACGGTCAATGAATGTTGCAAAAAGGTTCGCAACATTCAATGACCGTTGTGAAAAACCTTTTTGCAACGTTCATTGGCCGTTGCAAAAAGGTCATTTGCAACGGTCGTCGAACGTTGCAAATGAGGTTTTTGCAACGGTCATTGAACATTGCAAAAGACTAGAGACTCTACGGCAACATTGCATCCCACAATAGACATGCGACCGTTGCAAAAGGTAATTTGCAACATTTTTTGCCCATTGTGAAAAGTAATTTTTTGTGTAGTGGTTGTAAGAAATTAGGTGGTTATGGTGAACTGTTATATGGAACTCAATGGCCATGGTGAAATTAAATTAATTTGGGTGGCTATGGTGACACTAAATATAAAGTTGGGTGGTTATGATGAAACAAAATAAAATTGGGTGCCCATTGGTGAATTTAACCCTTTTTTGACATGTTTCTTTATTTCAGCAAGAGAACAAATTGGGTTGGTAACGTTAATTCCGTGTGTTGCTTTAATTATTCAATCTTTTGCATTGTCTAATTACGTTCATGTTTTCATATATGGGAAGTACATAAACATGCTCTGGCAGCATGGATGGATGGACCGGACTTAGAGTAATTTTTTTAAAAAAAATATTGCAGCACAGTTAAATATTTTTTGATTCCACTCAAACCCAACAAATTTTAAAGCCCAAAAACTACAAAATCTGTAACTTTTTAACCCGAAAACTTTTTAACTCAAAAAAGGTGGTTGGTTTGAAGTTGAACATGGTAGTTTATTGGAGGTTGTGGCGGAGGCGACGACGGTATTCCAATGTGTATTGTGGTTGGGTGGTGTAGATGATGTTATGGTTGGGGATTTTTTTTGGTTTGTAGGATGGGGGGTGTGGGTGGAGGAGGTTCTGTGGTTCTAGTGATGGAGGTGGTGGTGGTGGTGGTGTTGGTATTTTTAGATGATGGTTTGCTATCAGGAAGTGGTGGTGGTGGTTCCGGTGATGGGGTTTCGGTGTTGGTGGTGGTCATAGATTATTTGGTTGTTTGTGACCATTAAATTGATTAATTTGTGATCGATAAATAACATTTGACCAATAAAAAAGATAAATTATGACAAAAAAATAATGTGTGACCTATAAAATTATTAAATTGTGATCGATAATTTGTGGCCGTCTAATAAGTTGTGACTCATAATATTTGTGATTTGAGACCTATAAATAAATTGTGACGTTTCAATTTTCGATTTGTGATCGATGAACAAATTGTGACTTATAAATTTTTTGAATTGTGACGTTAAAATAATTTGTGAGATATAAATTTGTAATTTGTGACCAATGGAAAAATTTTGACATATAAATTTTTTTATTGTGACCTAGAAATAATTTGTAACTGATTAATTTATAATTTGTGACCAAATTATATGAAATTGTGACCTTAATATTTTTAATTAAAAAAATAGTTTAATTTATTTATTTATAAATAAAATTTAAAAAAATCCGAGATTTAAAATTTTAAACTTAGTTTCTTAAATTTGAAATTAGGAAAACTTAACCTCTTAGTTATGAAATCTTCCCTTTTTTATTTTTAATATTATAGCCCAGTTAATTTTTTTGATTCCACTCAAACCCAACAAACTTTAAAGCCCAAAAACTACAAAATCTGTAACTTTTAAACCCATACCCAATTCCCAATCATTATTGGGAAAAATTCATTTCTCCTATTTTTAAAATTAGATTCCGAAGACTATTCTGGTGATCGTTCCGATGACTTCTCCGTTCCGGCGACTATGTCGATGATTTTTTCGGCGACTATTCCGGTAAATGTGACCTGTATTTTTGATCCGCGACCTACAAACACATGTGACCTGTTAATATTGATTTTAGGTCACACCATTTTTATAGGTCCCACGGTCACAGACTTCCAAATTAGTTGGTTACAGATTTTTTCACGGTCATAGATTATATAATTTTAGGTCACAAACAACAAAATAGTTGATCACGGATTATATTTTTAGTCACAGATTACTGAATTTTAAGGTCACAGATTATATTTTTAGTCACAGAAGGTCACACGGACACAGACTTCCAAATTATTTGGCCACAGATTTTTTCACGGTCACAAATTATATAATTTTTAATTCACATATAACGAAATGGTTGGTCAGGTTATCGAATTTTAAGGTCACGGATTATATTTTTAGTCACTGAAAACCAAAATGACCAGATCCACCACCACCTCTGCACTATCGCCACGACCACCAACACCATGGGAAACCACCACCTCTACCACCAATAGAAATGCACCACTGTGACCGCCAC